GCATCCTCAGTGAGTGTCACATACTGGGAATAATGATAACTACTATGGCAGACGACTTCGGATTAGATGCGTTCTACATATTCCCCCTGACAACAAGACCAAGTTGTGACAACGAGGTCAACCTACTTCTATAAATCGAAAAGAGACTGCGACCATAACAGAGGCATAACAGACCATAACATCTTGGTCTTCATATATTCTATTATTTGATAAATTTTATTTCGGAAAACTGTTTTATGCAAACTAAGTGGCAAGTGATAGTCTTAAGGGAACAAGTCTTAAAGTAATTACTTTTCTTACGTTTTTGATGAGATTTACAAAATAATGCCATAAGAGATAGGATAAATCTCATGTATATTCCACTTACTTTAAACCTTATTCAAATTGAAAGACTTGTATACCTAGATATTAGATGAAGACTTCAATATAAATGCTTAAACCTCCATTTTACTATATATTTACAAATTAAAAAGCAAGCGTCATTTAGTATTCAATTTAGTCAATTTAGTATTAGTTTGATACTCTTTGTTATTGTGTTGCATAGAAATAATAACCAACTGAGGAGGAGATTTAATTTTATTTTGCACATGTAAACCACTGCAGTGGTATCAAGACCCTTGTATTGATCTAAGCCAAATTCCACAGAAAGACCTCGTCTATGTGACATTTCTTTCAACACTAGACTGTATATGAATCTCGCTTCCTCATAAGCACTTATTTATTTTACCTGCCTCATCTGCCCATCGCAAACTGAGTATTCTAATCAGGCTCATGTATAGACACGGCCAAAGGTGCTATTGGCCCTGCGAATAATTGTATATTTCCTTATAGAATATAGTGTATATGGATGTTCGAGAACGTGCTGACAAGTTTGCTCCATGTTGTATTGTGCATGTTATAAAGCTCGTTTTGCTATTCTATTTTTGTATGCTGTTTACATCATCAAAGACATTCGCATTCATTTTGAAGTAGAGATCTAAGAATGACACTGTACTCAAAATTTAGAGTGACATTTAAGGATAATTACGAGATAACATTCATTAAGACCGTGAGTTACTGCCTATCGATTTTCTATAAACCCTTTAATTTCCCAATTTCTTTGCAGTTTAAATGCACCTAATGTATTTTAAAAATATTTTCATTTCATTTTAGCAACCTGGTCGTATTGTCAGAGATGTAGAGAACGCACCTTGTCCCAAATTCTCTGCTCTAGTAGCTTTAATAAGTTGCAGCATCGAACCGTGAACTAGGCTAATTCCCTGACGTTTCGCCACATCGTCACTGAGTCTTGCTACTCTTAGCAACATAATACAGCTCTATAAAGAGACTAGTGCCTCCGGGAAATTACCATGTCTAGGGTTATATGCTGTAAATTATCATGGCTGCTATGGAAGAAGACTTTGTGAAGGGTGCGTTTAGCTAAAACTCTCTGACTATACAACCAATTTGTGAAAACAATATCAACGCATTTTTATACAGTAATCATAATAAAGGCCAAACCATCTTTCTATCCTCTAATTTAACACATTTAGGGGAAAATTTTCTATAAGTATTAAGCGGACTCGACTTTTCAAATACAATTTGATCATTATGCAAAGAAGCATTCCTTTGGTTACTGATCATAGTTTTGCGCCAAAATAATGAACGCTTATAAATAATGGAAGCAACAAGATCACAGCCTTTTGCCTATTTGCCTGGAATAAATGAGCACTTTTTCAGGAGACACGTAATTAAACGGGTTAGAGGACGCGATAAAAGTAGGTATATACTGATTGAACTAGTTATTCAATATCCTTTTTAATTAGCCACCTACCTTCCAACAACGACATTCTCATAGAGATGCGCCATCGTTTCTGAGATTCCTAAAAGATCCAATGCATACGGTCCAGCACAGGCGCAGCCACCACGTGCTTGTATACCAAAGAGGTCATTGAGCAGCGAACAAACAAAGTTATGGTGCAAGAACAAGGAGGCCATAGATGACTCTGCATGCCCTTGAAACCCCTTCAGACGGCCAACCGGAGATGGCGTATGACCATTCTGCATGTCTACAGAGGCAGCATGAGGAGAGAAGAGCGTTTGTCCACGCTTGCCGCGGTAAGACGCGGTATGCTGGTCAAAATCACTTGTTGGTGTACCAGCTGTTCCTCTGATCAAATGGGGACCAGTTCCAGGACTAGTACCATTTGAATGCACATAGTTTCCATTACCGGTATAAAAGCCGCATACTTTGGCATTAATTGACGCAGCCGCCGGTCTGGCGCCGACTGGCGGAGGAGATGCTATGCTGCTTGCTAGTGTAGAGGAGTTGTTCATCTGGCTGCTGTTTAACGCATGTGAGCCATTAGCCGTGTCGAACCGAAATCTAATGATGATGGAAAAGATTGGAAGGCGTCTTGCCTTGCTGCCACCTAAGATCACGATGTTTGGAGTCATCGAAAGTCGATTCCAGACTCGGCTGCATCAAAATAATTTTTTAGCATTTTGGATATAAATGAAAACATAAGCGAAGTTTATAAACGTTACGCATAGGTGATCAAAAAGTCATTGGCCTATTCTAATAT